TACTGGACTTCGAAACCTTCTATTCCCACTGCACTATTATTCATTTATTGGAACGTAAACCTAAAATAGGATTTGATGGTAGTGAGAGAATTTGAATGTTTTGATGTAAGGTTAATGTGGTTTATATTTTTTGGTTAGTGAATAGTTATAATAGATGTATGTTCTCATAGGAAATGCTCTTGCCATCATGCTCACTACTGTTGAGATAAATGCAAGGGCAGCCCAACACAAATTGGTGTCTAAAGTGAGAAAATATTTTATAAAAATTTACGGTATGATTTTTTTTCAAAGTTTTAGTGAATTTGGGATTGGGTGAATCAAACAATAAATTGGGTGTAAATGTGAAATCAAGATCTTACAAATGAAAATTGAATAAAGTCTTAAAGAAACAACAAGATAGCTAAAGATACGGACAATAAACTAGAGCAAGACAGTGAGACCGGGAGACAGAGAAAGAGTTGGAGAGAAGCAGTAAGAGTGGAAGAAAAAATAATGAAAAGAATTTGAGAGATTGCTACTTTTAAGTCTAGAAATCGTTAATTTTAGATTTTTTTAGAAGACTTTGTTATATTTTAGAACTTTTTATAAAGAGTTATATAGACTTGTAAAAATAGTTATATTTTAGGGTTTTCTATAAGACTTTAAATGGACTTGTGAAATATATTTGACCTTCAACTTGGTCATTTCAAAAGAGCTTCAAAACATGAAGCTAAATAAAGGACTGAAAATTAAATTGGATCTCTAAAATTTTGAGGTTCTAGGCAATTATTTTAGTGGTCAGGGCCCTAAGGTCTGCCTTGCTGTGCCATTGAAGTATCTGTGTATCTCGCAACAATTGTCGTATTTGCTCGTCTCTCATTGTCAAGTTTTCGTCTATGAAACCGATTAAATGAGACAAATTAATTACTAGATGACGCGCATCAATTAAAAGTAATATGCATTATTTTATATTTTATGAATTTTTTCATTGATTTTTATAAGATACTCTTATAGTAAAGATGTTCAATAGTACAATGTGGTGTCACATATTTTTTTTTTAGTAATTGAGGCATCTTATATATATTAAATATTATTAATTTTTTTTATATTAATTAATTTTTATTGTGGATTCTTTATGAGAACGAACAATTAATTAGTTGGTATTTTTGTGTTTAAATGAAAACAAAATTGAGTTTAATAAATGATATTTTTTTTTGGAAGAGATAGATACTTATTATATTTTTTTATCGAAGTGTCAACTCTTTTTTGTTTTTTAATAAATTTGTAAGTGTGAAGTGGACTGCACTTTTGGACGTAAATTTTAAATTTTATTTTTTTGACATTATCTTTCAAGAGGTTTTTTGTTAAGCTAAATTAAAATGAATTTTAATCTTTGATTCTAAAATTTCAGGCTTTTAAACAATCAAAAGGTCGGGGAATCCACTGATAACGTTAATCGCAAAGCATACGAGCAGGGGGAATGATCTCTCCTTTTTGAGAAATAGGTCCATCTAGGTTAGGTTAGGTTAGGTTAAAGGCTTAGTCCTTTCATTTTTTTAATAGCTTTATTTATTGTAATACTTTTATTAGAGCAACCCCAACCGGCTCAATAAAAGGCAACTTTTAGCTATTTTGCTGAGCCAGTCCAAAAAAATTGGCTCCAACGGGCTCTCCATTTCGCTCGCTGCTCTGCCTCATCCCATTCTCACTCATTGATCCTGGCCAGCAAGCTTCTCTCTTATCAGAGTTCTCTCCCCCAATTTTGAGTCGTTCTTCATCAGATTTTTGCGCCAATTTTGGGGATCTCGTCTTTATCAGAGCTCTCACTCGTTTTAACGTTGCCAGTGATCCACCACAGCCAGAAAACCACCGCTCAGGTATCTCCCCCCCTTTTGGTTGTCTGAAGTTGGTGACGAATGCCCCACTCTCTTATTTTTTTTTTTTCCTTTTCTATATCTCTGTTATTAGTATTAACTTTGGCTTTCTTGAATTGGATGTTGCATTTGTTTAGCTAAAAGACCAATTTTGACATGCCCACAATGTGTTCGATGAAATGCCCAAAAGTTGTAAATCAAATGACACTATATTTTTTAACATATGTGTAGGAGGATGAAATAATGGTAGAATTAATGAACAAATATGGGCAAAAATCAAATGACACTAGATTCTTTTAACATCAAATATGGGAAAGCAGTGTCGGGAAATGTGAGATTTGAGAGCTTCATCTTAATTTATGTTCTTTGTATAGTTGCTTTGTCATTCCATGCTCATGTGACTTTCTATTTTCAATGACTCTCAAAAGGGTCAGTGGGAATTGAAGAGTGTATGAGTGGGTGAATTCATGGGTGAATTATGCCAATCATGGGAAATTGTATTTGTTGATAAAAGGATGCAAAAATGAAAGCTACTGCTATTTTTTAGATTGGTCTTGATATGCACTTTGATGTCTAATTTCATGTTCAAGGTCGTAGCTTTGGCTCTTCTATCTTCGTACTGCAAAGCACTATGAATGATTTATACATCTTTATTTGTTTACAATTTAGAATAAATATAATTCCATTGTTTTACAAATCTTCTGGTTTCTTGTTGGATTGTTTCTACCACATCATTCAGTGTTTGCTTCTTGATTGACGAAGTAATTGCACCTCCAACTTAAAATTGTGTGGAGATGATTCATCAGCAAATGAAAAGGCACTCCGACTGTACTGCTATGTTACTGGACGATGCCAGGGTCTTGGGGTGTCTTACTCGTCCAAAACCCTTTTATGTTTGGGATCGTTATGTGCTTGTTTATGCTTCTATATATGTGTTATCTATAGATCACTTTTATATAATTATGGTTTATATATTATTCACATACATAACTGTTAATTCAAGCGTCTCTGTCGAATGGTGTATTCCATCTTTGTGGTCTTATTGTTTGTCATGTTTTTATATGTTTCATAAACATTTATGTTTTACATTAATATCTATCAAACATTTAATTTTAATTTTGAGGAAGGATGCTAAGAATTGTGATTGCTTGAAAGCAATCAAAAATTTCATGGGCACAGAATCACATGCATTACTTTGTAGATGTATGTCTTTATGAATAGTCATATTTTTGGGGTATGTTGTGTTTGATATTTTTTGTTGTTTTTGCTTTAATGTGAAATCTATAGGCTTCGATTTGGGGACTGTATTTGATGGTTATGTTTTAGAGACTTGATTAGATCTGACATTGTAGTTTGTGTGTGGTGTCTGTGTTTTGGAGACATATTTTCTAGTTTATTGTGATTATGTCTATCGTCTGATATTGCATGAGTAACCTTTATGCACCTTTCTTTTGAACTTTTTTCATCAACAATATAGGTTTTCTGATGGATGAACATATATATTACTTCACTAATATCTTGAACGACGGAACAAACGTAGATGAGTTTAACACTCAATCAGTAGACCAAATAAATCATTCTTCACCAATATTACCTCCAATAGAATCCACCACCAAAAAGGTTCGAGGCGGCAACTTTTTAGTTGAGGAGGACTTAGTTTTAATCTCGGGTTGACTTAATATTAGCGTGGATGTTGTACATGAGAATGAGCAAAAATCTAAAAGGTATTGGCAAAGGGTTTTGGAGTACTTCAACGAATACAAACCCCAGTCAGATTGTAATCGCAATCAAGTTTTTTTGATAAATCGTTGGTCGACAATTCAACTAGCCACCAATAAATTTTGTGGCTGCTTTAACCAAATTGAAAGGTTGAATCAAAGTGGTCTGACTGAGAAAGACAAGGTATGAGTGTATTTTAATTACAAGTGTGAAAATATGACATTTTTCTTTTATGACACATAGCATTATTGTACAATTTTCAGGCCCGTGATGCAAAGAAAGTGTACAAGGAACTTCATAAATTATCTTTTCCATTTGAACATTGTTGGAATGAGTTATGGTATCATACAAAATGGATGGAGGATTCTCAGTCCAAGAAACAAAAAACAAAAAGTGGTTCAACTCCTTACAGCTCTAATCCTTCAACACCAGAATCAGTAAACATGAGAGGCGACAGTGGGGGCTTGGAGAGGCCAAGTGGAAGGAAGGCTGCGAAAGAGCGAGCAAAAAAGTCAAAGAGCAAGCTCTTTGAAGGCGATAATTAAAGTTCAACTTTTTTCGTGAAAATGTTTGAAGAAATGAAAGAGGAGAAAAAGAAGTTGGCGGAGAAGAAAGTCGAATTCATGGAAAAAATGTTGGCTATTGAACAAGAGAAGGTACAACTTGAACAAATGAAGGAGGAACAGAAAATATAGTTGATGGATACTAGTGTCATGCCTCTAATTCAAGCTGAATATTTTAAGCGTCTCCAGATGGAAATCTTGGCAACGAAAATATAGTTTTTTCTTATTCATAGATTAACAACTTTTGAGTAGTAGTACAACAAACAAGTACTGTAATATTATGCATGCTTAAAATATTCGTAGACAATGAATATTTAAATATTCGTAGATATTCTATGCATATTCCACAGGTGCTCGACTAGATCAGTTTGGAGTCTCGAATGAGTGTCTCTGTCTTGAATGCGATGTTGAGACATTTCGTGGATGATCGTTGTAAAATTTAAAATTTAAATTTTGATGACGTGGCACGACACGACATCATTATGACGCTTACGTATTACGTCACGAGGTATTTTTAAATTATATTATTGAAAGTTAGTTAAAATTAGTTGAAATAGTTAGCTAAAATAGAGAGCGTGATTGAAGTGAATTTTAAAAAATAGATAGCTAAAGTAGTGAATATAATATTTAAATATATTTTGAATAACTATTTTATTGAGCGTGGTTGAAAATGTTCTTATAAATGAAAATTATAGTTTAGGAGATATTTATTTGGGCTTATGCATCTCTGGGCCCTCGGCCCATCATCCAGTCAACAAAATGCCGTATAATAGTAACATTCCTCATCGCCGGTCCCGACAAGAACAATCAGACAGCCCACTCCTGATATTACTCTTCCTTTGGACTCTGCAAGATCTACCCCTGACTCTCACTCTCTCACACACACACACGCACTGAGATCAGTCGTGTTTAGTTCAGAGAAAATGGCAAGTGGGGGTGGGTATGATGCTAGCCAGAAGATAGACTATGTGTTCAAGGTGGTGCTAATTGGTGACTCGGCTGTCGGCAAGTCTCAGATATTGGCAAGGTTTGCTCGAAACGAGTTCAGTTTGGACTCCAAGGCTACCATCGGTGTCGAGTTCCAGACTCGGACCCTTGTTATCCAGCACAAGTCCGTCAAAGCTCAGATCTGGGACACTGCTGGCCAAGAACGGTATATCCATGTATCTATATGTGTGTGTGAGTGTGTATGTTGTTTATGTAAGTGTTAGATTGGTGAAGAAATTCGTATGGGTAAGTGCTTAGAAAGTGTCATTTGATCTAGTTTTGGGTTTGTTTTTATTTGATTTTATGCTGCATTGTTTCATGCTGAATTGATGTTTACTGTTGTTTTTTTTAGTAATTATTAGTTTTGGAGTTAGAATTTTGCTTTGGTGTGATATTTGTGTATGATTTTGTCTGATCTCTCTCTGTGTGAGACAATTGAATAGTTGGAATCTTGTTCATACGGTGGAATGTTGTGATACGATCCAAACTGTACAATGGACAAGAGGTGAAATCGCAGTATATATGCTCACTTTTAGAAAAGTTGCACTTTTACTAGTAGTATTTTAATAGGTTCTGATGCGGTTTTCCATTTAATATCTGGCCGTTCAAACACTCATGAAAGTCTGTTTTGCTTTCCGCTTTCCTTCATTTCTTGTCTGTATTTCAACTTGAATTAAAATTACCCCTCTTTTGATCAGTCTAGCATAATGCTGTTACGTGTGCCTTAAAGGACCAACCTTACCTGATAGGCTTAGGCACTAGTTCAGTCAAATCACACCTTACCAATGGATAAATATTTTACACACATTCTTTTGCTTTAGTTTTTCTTGCTTTGCTCTTGGTTGGTGCAGTCTAAGGTTCCCTTAAGCCTTAAATACATTTTATTTTTATATTTTTCCAGTGATTACCAATCATCAATCTCATATGTAGACTGAGCCTGGCTGAGTATTTGAACATTTTCAATTTTTGATACAAAGTTGGTGCAATTTAAAGAGTCATTATCCAATTTGGTTCTTGTTAATAGAAGATGTCGGAAGGGTCATCATCAGATTCGTTCCCAAATTTTAACGTCGTTAATCCAACAATTGACCAAAGTACCAGCCAATGTTCCCTTACTGGTGGCGTGATTGTCTTCTATTAATAGTAATAGTGTTCGTTCCCAAATTTTAACATTGTTAATCCAACAATTGACCAAAGTACCAGCCAATGTTCCCTTACCGGTGGCGTGATTGTCTTCTATTAATAGTAATAGTGAATGCAAGGCTCTATATGGTATCACGGCGATTTCAATGCAATCAGGGATGGATCTGGGGGTAAATGGGGGCTCTTTGTAAATCACAACAGTAATATCGGTATTAATGGTTATTTGAGAAAAAGTAGGATGATTCAGCACGATTCCACTGGTTTCCTTCACCAGCGCCTTGTGGAGAGGTACCACATGTAATACAAACCCAAACTATGAGCACAATATAATTCCAAAAATCACTAGGATAGCCTCTATATTGCCAATAAACCCCAAGGTGGAGGGAAAAAAAAGGAGGATTTAGTTTTTCCTAAAACTTATTTGATATAGTACCATGTGGGAGTATAGGATCAAATTTTTGTTACCAGGAACAGTGGATGGTAGGATCGGAAAAAATAGGGGCAGGGTTGAGAAAACAGGTAAAAGATTATGTCCGGGCTCATTTCTGATTCCTAGATTTTCTGCTAATTCTAAGCAGATATGAAGCACAAAGTACCATTTTATGATTAAAGCAGATTGTTAGTACAATTGTTGAGTTTTGCTTCTTGGAGTTTGGAGTAATAAACATAATTAGTTGTAGGAGCAATGCAAGATTTATTTTCTCTCTTTATCCTACTTGAACAAGTAGAAAATAGCATGTGCTGAGATACCATCAGGGACAGTATTTTTTCCAGCAAGTCAGTCCAACTGCCCTTTCTTCACTAGGTCCACGCTTTTCAATTTGTTGCCAGTAGAAGTCAATAAAGTTCTGGACATGGATCCATGAGTAGTAAATGTAAACAAGACCATACTATAAACTTCAAAGCCTAAAATTACCACATAGGTGAATGGGTTTGTGTTTGTATGACCATTATCTTCTGAGACAATGTTCAAAACCAGTTTACTCAGACTGCATACCCTTCTTGTTAATGGCTAATTTCACGTGTTCTAATCGTGAACAGGTAATAATAATTCTTAAAGCTAAATTTCATCAGCAATGTATCTTATCTTGTAGACAGAGTTATGCAGTTTGGTAAAATATTCTCAGCAGCTTAATTCTTATCTCAACCTTCTTGGAATTGGTGAGCAGATATAGGGCTGTCACGAGTGCATATTACAGGGGAGCAGTTGGGGCTATGTTGGTTTATGACATAACTAAACGACAAACGTTTGACCACGTAACCCGATGGCTAGAAGAGTTGCGTGGTCATGCAGACAAGAACATTGTCATTATCTTGATTGGAAACAAAACTGATCTTGAAGACCAACGGGCAGTCCCCACTGAGGATGCGAAAGAATTTGCTGAAAAGGAAGGATTGTTCTTCTTAGAAACTTCAGCACTTGAAGCAACAAATGTGGAGACAGCATTCTTGACTGTGTTAACCGAGATCTTCAACATCGTGAACAAGAAGAATCTTGTTGCAAGTGAGGACCAAGGAAATGGCAACCCTGCATCCCTTTCTGGCAAGAAGATTATAATTCCTGGCCCTGCACAAGAAATCCCAGCAAGAAGCAGGATGTGCTGTAAATCTTCCTGAAATGTGTGGATATTGGGTTTCAAGATTTGGCATCATTGATTCTATTTACCTAGTAGTTTTTTTTTTCGAAATGTTGGGTGTACTTTCCTGTATATCGTTTGTTGCTATATATTTTAGTTTGCAAGAGGAAATTGATACATGTTTTGAGGTGGGAAAAACTGCATTTGGTGAGACGTGTTCGCATTGTGTTTTTTTTTTTTTGGGGGGGGGGGGGGGGGGGGAGAATTCTGGTGTCTCTCTCCTCCTTATTTTCCATTTTTGATAAACTGATCAGTCCTTTTGTAATTTGGCTATTTATGTTATAGGGTTCAATTTATATTTTATAGATCTTGTGAATTTAATTGAAAATGCTAGATCCATCTCATTGGTGAGCCCCGGCTACATAGCATTTCCCTTGCGCTCTAAAAAAGCCAACTTCAACCCAAAAAAAAATAAAATCAAAGATTAAAAATGACCGAAGATCACAATTGTTGGATGTTGTCCCCGCCTTGTTAACCAAACAAGATACTATCTCAACGAGATCTAAAATAAACACGACTTAGATATAACACAGGGAGTGCTGTTCTTTGAACAAAGAAAGTCCCAGAAAGTACATAAAAGTCCCTTTCTGCTTTGTGTGTTCAGTCCAGCGCGACCCTTTCACCTGTGGGCTGAGGAGGAGTTGGGGTGGGTGGGTAGGGCTGCTCAGTAAAAAGGAATATAAATTCTAAGGGGTAAAAGGGATTGGTAATGACCATATTGTTTATAGGGTAAAAATTCAAAAACCTTCCCTGTATTTAAGGTTCAATTATAATTTTTGTTTAGACATAACTTGTAAAATGCATGATCAATCATAGAAGATTGAAATCGATACCGAGAGTTATATCTTTCGACGTTAAATTATAATTTTTAAATGTCAAGTTACAATTCATAAAGGAGAAATTGCAACTGATCAAGAAACCAGTTATAACTTCTTTTTTTAAAGGCATAACTTCATTATAAAAAATTATAACTTTCCATCTGTACCCAAAAAAAATTCAATAACGTAAACTTTCTACATAACATTATTCCGAGTGAAAACCTACGAATTTATTAGCCTTTTGACTATCCAAATTCCAAGTGGTCAGGGTGAAACTTGACATCACTCTCTTTTATTCCTATACTTGGATGAAAACTACTTTGATTTTTGACTTTTGGAACTTTACCAATGTATTAGCCTTTTAGCGAAAAGAACTTCGAATTTTGAAATGCAGTTGTAGTAATGTATTAGCATTTTGTCTATCATTGAAAGCACTTTTCTCCTGTTTGTTTGATTTAAATTAGAGTGGAGGACACCATTGGGAAGAGAAGATAGTTGATGGGACATTTTCTGTGATCAAAGGGGACACACACGTGTTCTCGATATATATTGGCCGTAGCGTGTTTTTTGGACGACACGTGTCATTGACATTTTGTTCTCAAAGTGTTCTTCAAATGTCCGCAGAGTCCTCGACATCTTGTTCGTAGAGTGTTCTCTAAATGTTTGCGGAATCCTTGACATCTTGTTCGCAGAGTCCTTAACATGTTGTCCGTGGAGTCCTCAACATCTTGTCCACGGAGTGTTCTTTGAATGTCCGCAGAGTTCTCGACATCTTGTCCGTAGAGTATTCTTTAGATGACACACGTCCTCGAGAATCTTGTCTGCGGAATATTCTTTGGATGCCATGTATCATTGGCATCTTGTCCGCAAAGTGTTCTCCGAATGACACCTGTCCTTGGCATCTTGTCCGTGAAGTCCTCGACATCTTGTTCGTTACATGACATGTGACGTTAAGTCTTCCATGCCGACAAAGAATGAATAAGAGTTTTTGACGGTTATCGTGACTTAGAAGCAGAGTGGGTTGTCAATGATCGATTCCCCCTTTTCAAGACGGTCAGAATGATAAAAAAGACAGTCCAATAACCGATGGTAAAGATGTACGAAGTAAAAAGTTTTGAAATATTGGCCCCTTGGAGGGGTGATGAACGAAAATGCCCTTGTGCATGCACATCCATAATTAGGTCATAATAAATGTTCTCCTCAGAAGAATAAGGAGCATTTATTGCTCGACGAGCTTAGGAAGGCTGAACATTAAATGTAGGAGCTTCTGTCACGTAAAGAGGAAGACTCACTACTCGAGGATTGAGCATCACCTGCTACCTTCCAAATGAGCCAATGAGGAGTCTTCCCTCCAAGGGACCTAGCTGTCCGTAATGATTGACTCCATGGAGGTATAAATAGTTCTCACAAATCCAAGTGTAAGGTATGCAAAATCCGACCCAAGGAATAAAACAGTGCTTTCCACCCCTTTCTCACGTACTGACTTGATCGTCGGAGGGGTCACGCCAGAAAACACTCCGACACCCTTCTAACCTTTCTCTTTGAGTGACAGAGTTCTACTCGATAAGCCGGGATAGTTTGAACCGCTGAAAAAGTAATTCATCACCACTCCATATACCATCTTTCACATCTGTTTACCATGGGACCATCGACTTTTCAGGTAAAACTCGCGTTCACTAAGGGGGAGATCTATCAATTTATCTATTGTGTGAAAATCATCGCGCACAATTTGGCGTCGTTGTGGGGAATGACCAAGTTTTCTTGAGACAGTGACCACGGTGAATACTTGTCAGAAAGGAAAAGGTCCTCAGCAAGGAAACATAGATGTATTGACTCCTTCTATATCGAGAACGGAGGATCACGTTGAAGCGTCAACAAGGAGTTTTTGGTCTATTCTAGAGAAAGAACCCACCAAACTGAACTGATCCTTGGGGATGAAAAAGACGGCCCCTTGGCCCGTTAACTTTTTGAAGAGCGGTTGGGGAATCGATTAAGGTAGATATAAGAAAATAACGTGAATGTTCTCAACAAACTAGATGAATTTGCATTTTCCAGTGGGGGGATCTCGAAACTTACGACTGTCTAAGGAACCCTCCATCAAGAAGGTGGGAGCCGACAACTTGAGGAATCATCTTAGTGGCGGATTAGGGGGCTCCAAGGCTCCGAAACGCCCGAGGACAAGATTCGGAGGTCCCAGCAAAGAGGGCCAAACCTTTGGAAGTGTGGAGGAGACTAAGGAGGGGTCATCCCTCTCTGTGAAGAACGAAGGAGCTGGGGGGCATACCGCATGTCGCGACGTTGGTGAGAGATGACACCATAAGGATGGGGAAGACCTTAGGTCCAAGTTGGATTCCATAAGAATGGACAAGTTCACCTGTGATGGCAACACAGATGATGAAGCCATTGTATCACCATTCACCAAAAACATCATGGACATAGAAGTACCAAAGAAGTTTGTGGTGTCATGATTCAAAGTTTATGGTGGACGTTCCGACCCGGAGGCTCATATTCGATAATACAAGTAGATGATGTCTCTATATCACTCAGATCATAGGCTGTTATGTCATGTATTCTCAATGAACCTAGGTGATGCGACTATTAAATGGTTCAAGACCCTCCCTCCAAGTAGCATAGCGTCTTGGAGGGAGCTAATCAAACAGTTCTCCGCGCAGTTTGTCACGGGGAACAAGCGCCCCAAAGATGTCGAATCATTGTTGATCCTCTGGTGGAGGAAAAGTGAAACACTCTTCTAGTATGCTACTCGCTATTGGGATAAGGTAAATGAGGTAGAGGAATGCTCCGAAGTCATGGCGGCGGCCTTTTTCAGACTTGACCTCTCTCGGGACACAGATCTTTAGAGGTCATTGACGAAATGGACACCAATGGACATGGGCGAGTTGATGAACCATACCAACAAGTACTCCAGGGTAGAAGACGAGTTGGTGGGGAGTATAGGGAAAAACTTGGCCCAAAAGAAAAAAGATAAGGAGAAGGAGAGGGACCCTCATAGGAAAGGTCTGATCCCGACATCAGGGAACTCCTTCAGGGGGACCCACACTATATTCAAAGAGCCCATTTACAAGTTGTTGTATAAGATCAAGAATAAGCCCTTCTTTAAGTGGCTCATAAGGATGTGGGACACCTTACTGAGGATTGTTGAGTATACAAATCCTTCTTGGAGAAGTTAGTGCAAGAGGGATATCTCAAGGAGTACATTGAGGAGGATTTGTCGAGGGAGATGCGTGTCACCGACGACCAGGCTACTGTCTGTAGTAATATCATAGACGTCATCCACGTTTGCCCCTTAGAACGGCCAACAAACAACACTCTCAAGTCTGACCTCAAGAGGGTAGCCTTCACCAAGAAGGTGGAGGAGAAAGATGGGGGCCAACCAAGTAAGAGGCCTCAGATGGATCAAGAAGGCATCACCTTCTTGAACACCGACTTGGCAGGCATGGTCTTCCCCTGTGAGGATGCCTTGATCATAACTTTACAGATTGTGGGTTTTGATGTCAAGAGGGTCCTGGTGGATTTGGGAAGTCCTCAGAGGTGATGTACGTCGATGTACTAAAGCGAGTGGGACACAGATCCAAGGATCTCGTAAGACACCCCTCATTGGGTTCAATGGGTTGTTTGTTCTACCGCTAGAGAAGATCACTCTACCGATCACCACTGGATCTGTTACCATCAACACGGAGTTCGTGGTGATTGACTTTGACTCACCTTATAACATAATCATAGGGGGACTTGGTTGCACTCGCTTGAAGAAGTGCACTCCACCTACTATCAGAAGTTGAAGTTCCCCACTTTGGAGAGGATAATGGAGATTTATGGAGACCAAGCTTTAGCAAAAAGTTATTTTTATGTTGCTGTGAAAGCTGGGATTACCTCCAAGGAGAGGGAGTGTGCCCTAGAGGAAGTGTTGAACAAATAGGAACTACAGTTCAAGCGACTGGGAGTTGATGACCTACAAATTGACCCAACTGATTGCTCTGTGGAGGACCTCGGAAGGAACTTTTGACGGAGGGAGACAATGAGATATACTTCCTGATCGATTACACCATGCCTATAGTCGAGCAGGAGGAGATGACTATTTTTTTAAGGGAGAATGTTGATGTGTTCACATGGGACGCTACGGAGATGAAAGGCATATGTCCGGATGTTAAAACTCAAAGTTTATGTTGATCACAATCATAAGCACATCAAGCAGAAACCTTGGCTTACAGCACCGCATCATGTCTAGGAAGTGAACGAAGAGGTAGAGACTCCTGGAGGCTAATGCCATCTAGGAGGTACAACTCCCGAAATAGTTGTCAAACACCGTCTGCGCAAAGAAAAAGAGTGGGAAGTGGCATGCCTGCGTGGACTT